GGGGGGGGGGGGGGGGGGGGGGGTACTCATAGTCGTGCATGCCGTAGTCGTTTGACCATTGACCTCGCATCCCTACAAAGCCGGGACGGAGCACGCCGGGTTCTCACCGGACCAGGCTCTCACATCACCAAGCGCGAAGCGCCGTGAGGTATTCGGCGAGTCGCATGAAGGGTGAGCTGCATCCTGCTAAGGGTGTCCGGCATCTTGTGCTTACTTCCTTGCGTACGGATGACAGCTACGTATGACTTCATTTATTTTCTGGTGCTTTCATCACTTCCAGAGACAGTTGTAAGCACTGTGTAACTGCCTCGAGGAAGCTTACCATTTTAACACAACGTGGTGCGATCATCCCCTTTGCGCGGAGTGAGGGTTCTCGACCCCGCACACCATGATCTACTCGACCACCATTATGGTTACCGCCAAAAAAAAAAACGGTAACCTGGTTGCCGAGTTCACGAAGTGAATTGGCTTGTTTTACAACGTCGTTGCCAAGCGACGAAAACCCAAACCCCGATGGAGGGGGGTGAGGGGGGGGCGTGTCTCACCAAGTACAGGTACCGGAAAGTTCCCAGCAGCCGCTCTAGCTCGCGGGTGTTCCACGTTCCCATGGCGTTGAAGACCAGGTGCAGCGGCTCGAAGTGGCTGAAGGACGCGGTGAAGAGCCGCCAGTACTCACGCTCCTCCCAGAACCTCGCGTAGCTAATAGCCACGGCGTCGGGAGACACCTTCACAGCAGCCAACGGCGGTGGGGGGCAGGAAATTCGGTGTCCGAGAGCGGTTTGAAGGCGGCTATTAGAGTCGACGTTTGAGATACGCGTGAGCGTGTGTTGCGTCTCAGGGTGTGTGCACAAGTGGCAAGATACTTGTTGCCCCAGAGAGGCTTCAAAGCGGCCTTTTATAAGTTGTTGTTTGAGACGCGCGTGAGCGTGTTAGCGCCTTTTGGCGAAGCGTGTGCGTGTGCGATTTTTTGTTTTCAGTTTGGTTATTTTCGATGTTGGTCTAGAGGATTGTGCGCAGCTTCCATCCGAGCGAAGTGTAACGCAGCCAATCTTCGACTCGAGGCGGTTCACACCGACAGCAGAAATCGAAAACATATCCGCAAAAAGTTGAAAAAAACGTCCAAAACATTCAATCAATATTTGAAAGGGCGCTTTCCGCAAACACCGAAAGCACTGCGTGTGCTACAAATCAGCACGCACATGCAAACACTCGACAACTGCAGCGGCCGATTGTCGACCACCTCACTTACCCGGTTCGCCCAGAGATGATACGCGAAGGCGAGGTTGATGACAAGCAGCAGAACCGTGCCGGGGTAGCTCACGATCTCGGCAGGCCCCCTGCCCAACTCGAACGGGCTCTTCCCCCTCCTACCGCCGCCGCCGCGCTTCCACTGCTCCGCAGGGTCCGCGTCCGGCGCCACCCTCTTCCCGCAAACGTGTACCTCCGGCGGGGGGCCAAGGCCGTCTCCTGCGTCTTTCTGCGGACTCCCCACGGCCCAGCCTGCGCCGTTGTGTCCGGGTGTCGAACGAGCAGTCAAAGGGCGGTGTGGTGTCGTGCCCCGCAAGATGAGCAAAGAAGGGGGGGGGGGGGTTGCGGACGTAATGCAACAGCGATGAAGGTGGCGGGAAAGATAGCAGGGCAACCGGTGCGGCGCGATGCAACGCTGCATTTTCCGTGGGGGGGGTACAGCAGTAGGTGACACAAAATAGTATACCACACAAAATAGTATACCACGCTCTCTTGGACCTGGACCGATTTTTCGGAGTTCGACTGCTCCAAGACGAAGAGGATGTCTAACATGTCTAAAATGTCTAAAATCAAGTTGATTTGTTTTTCGGGAACATCTCGACGAGACGGCGGTTACAACGCCGCCTTTTTCGGGCACCGCCACACTTTCTGCTGTGGAGAACTCGAGCTTCGAAACTCGATCTATGGGGTATCTGATATCTTACATCATGTCACCTAAGGTAGGCCAATGGTTTGGTTGTGCTGCCGACGACTCTAAAGGAGTCTTGCCCGAGTTTTAAAAAACAAAGGGTAGGGAGGGGGGGGGCTCCACGGTGTTCTCTTCCTCTCGACTGAACAAGCATACTGGCGTCTCGCGCTCCACTTGGGGTGTACTTTTTTTTTCTTCCTTTTCTCCAATTGCAAATTGCGGTTTCAGCCAGCACAATCCCGAAAAAAGCACAAAAGAAATCTTGTCCGATATATCGATACTTTAATAATCAAATGAAATATGTGATCGACGTCGATACTTTTAATCAAGTGAAAACTGTCCGAAATTTCAATACAGTAATAAAGTGAAAAATGTCTTCCTTGTGTTCACCAGC